CACTGCTATCAGCATATCTCATATTGCTTATTATTCTCCCATTAATCAAATCTGAAGGATAAGCATTGCTCGCTGAAGTCTTACCCCAGCCGAGCCATTTTTGCTATGGCTGATCATCACGCAATTACATCATAATGCAATATCTCCTGGCACAGATGTAAGAGGGATTTATAAATGAATGGCGAGAGTAGCGAGAGAGCGTGAACCCCTACCAACAGCAGATGTAAGGAGCCTCCGTGCCTCCCCTAGCTCGCGGGATACCTCATGGACGGGAGTTGAGCCCGTCCCCTTTTACGATCAAGGTTACATGAAGTCATGGCAGGCAGATGATGGGTAAAAGTGGTGAACATCTGGAAAGATTTCAGTACTGTCACCTCTTTAACTGTGCTACACAACGGATGCTTCTATAGGCACAATGGCTAGGACAATCGTCTCAGTATGATCACTGCTCAAAGAAACACTTTGCACATTACTGTGAGTATTTTGCAAAGAAAAATTATTTCTGTGCGCACATAATTGAAGGAGACAATCTATATTCTTTGGTCATGTTCATCAGAAGCAGACAAGTTGAGTACATCGTGACAGGCGACATGTTGGAGGCGAAAAGAGGTAGAGGGAGACGGCGAGAAAAGATGCCGGACATTTTTGACATCATATCAGGGGAAGATGCAAAGAGGTATTCGAGTCTTGAACACTCTAGCTTATCTGTAGCCTTGGAGAAGAGAGATGTTCTCTACAGACCCCTAGGAGATAGCACTTTGTTACAGGAGCGGTCGGTCAGTCGGTTTTCTTTACTATCCAGTCTGGTTCCCTGAAAGTTTGGTCACCCCTGAGAATTCAGAAATCACCCTGTTCAACATTTACATCTGGGGTACCCATAAATGCTCAAACAGTCTGGTGAAGTCAGAAGCTGGGCAGGGGTTCCCACGCAAAGAAAGCTGTAAGGGCTTACAAATATTTCAGTAGAAAGGGAACTCTAGAAGCCAAAGATTTCATTAACTGCATAACAATAAAATAATAATAATAATAACAATAATAATAATAATCTGCTGTATGGCAAATACATGCATTAATACATTTGTTTGTTTGTTTGTTTTAGTATCCAGAAGCCATGAGTTGTTAACCCTTTGGCTCGGTATTATGGATATCGCAACCTTTCGGCCTTGATTCCATTGTAAATACCGTAAATCTGGGAGAAATTTGGCTTTTCTGCCTACCCCCGGGAGTGAACCCTGACCACAAGGAGTTCGTCACCCGGTCACCGCGCAATCCGGTTTAGTCAACTACGCTAGAGAGCCGGGCACATTAATACATTTTAAATTATATGAAATTTATAAGTAAAAACGTTAAATAATAATATACAATGTTGGGGCGGCTAGTAGCTTAGCCTCATTAAATATGTGGGTGATGTGCGGCAGCAACTCCTCCCTCCCCTACCCCGTTTTCTCCTTTGGTTTTTAAAATTTTTCTAGGGAAAAGTCCTTGGGGATGTCCAAGCTCTCAGGTTCCGGCGCCCTTGTCGAGATACAAATCTATAGGAAGCTTACTCCGAAAATTGACAACCGTGTATATGCTTTACAGAATTAGACGGGCAATGAATCAAATACCACAGTTAACACTCATTTTAAAGATAATTCACAAAACAACAACAGCAACAACAAAGGTTAATTTTTTTTTTTTTTTTAATGAATCACTGAGCTTTTGTTCAATGGTTGGGCGGGGTTGTTTTCCTAAATCGCTAAACGTGTCCTAATAGTGGACACAATCAATAAATCATAGAAAAATGATACGCTGTATAGTATGTGTGTAGATTATTGTTAACAAAAACAGAAAGAGTGTAATGTGAAACTATAACAGTACAATGAAGTCTAAAACAACTGTAGCTATTCCACTTACGTTGTGAACCGTTCTTTGTTCTTATTTATCTAATCCATAGAAAAACGAAAGCCTAAGCTAGAGCAGTTAATTGTGTAGTAAACGTTAGAGCAGATGACGTTACTCCAGCGGCCTACCTGTGGCGAGTGTGTGTATGGGACAGCTGTTGTAGATCTCAATGCGCAGATGAAGGGAGCAAACTCTTAGTCACAATGACTTGTATTCGATTATGTTAAAGTTCTATTATTTGATGCTTGTGCAGTTGTATGGCATATAGGTAGGTGAATGTGTTTAATAATTCATAATCCTTGATTGAATGAATGAATGAATGAATGAATGAATCACTGCTCTCGGGACTTTCCCACACGTGCTCCGTCCCCTTCCTCAGTAGCCAATGTAGAGTCGACATGCTTAACAGTACCAGTTACAACCTGATTTATTGAAAGTCCGCCTATGTTTCCCACTCGGGAGTACCCGTGGCGTTGGCGGCTAGACGTCCACTTGCGGATCTGAAGGTCGTGGGTTCGCGTCCTGACGCAGCCGGACTTTATTTAAAAAATCACCTTGACTCCCAGGTCGACCCAGCCTTGAGTGGGTACCAGGTGCAGTCCTGGAAGGTAAAGGCGACCGGTGTGATGCTGATCACATCACCCACAAAGTGCCGATTGGTCTATAAAAAATATAGGTCTAGCCCTATATTTCCAATACGCCTAAAGACGTGGAAAAGAAACCTTTTTGTAGTTTCCTATTGTGTTAAATGTCTTCAAGGTCCTCTATTCACCGCCTACCCCGATCCTTCCTTTTGACTTATTCAGTGTATTGATTCTCTGTATGTTCTATTGCACTGTGCGTTTGATCAAAGAGAACCACCACGTTCGCTTTATTATGAAATAGCTCACCGCCCAGAGGAAGACAGCAACTGGTCTAACAACAGTTTGCTCGTTACCTAGCAAGCCTGAATATCCTGGACAGAAAATCCGTGATCTGTGTCTTATAAGTGATGCAAGCCACTCTGCGCGCAAGACGTCAGTTTCGATTTTCCGAAGCATGCTCACAAGTCAACGGAAATCTGCCATTACTGCCTCCACCTCCATTCTCATACTTGATGTAGAAACACTGTACGCGAGTCTCTTTGTTTTCAAACAGTGTCAATTGACCTTTCCATTAAAGCCCCAATCACTTTTCTTACCTCTTACTACAGACCCATCTGTGTATATAATTGGGTGCGTTTGGGTGCGAATTTTAATTGATCAGCTCTTGCACCACTGACTTCACCAGCTATCTTTTCTCGGCATCCTCTGTCCAAAGTTCCCATCACTAGATGCAAGACTGTTCTCCTGGGCGACACTGTCATCCGTACCTCACCATGCGCCATTTTGTCAGCAGTACAGACATTATTTATATTGACTTCTGCTTGTGCCATCCAAGAGACACCACTTTTCAGCCGATGCCCCTTGCTTTCCTTGCTGATTGCGACGTTAACCATATTAGACACGATTTCTATTTTCTTTCTTTTCAAACAACCTTCGATGAGTTAGAGAGTAGTCGGTGGATTTGAGAAAAGGGGGGTGGGTGTGCGATCTATGTCTGCGCAGACAATTATTGCGACATTTACTGTGTTAGACACGTACGATTTCTATTATTGTGCGTTTCAATAATACTTGAAGTTTATATCTGGGATATCTGTTTATTTTTTTTTTTAACCCGGGAGCAAAACAAAACCCAGACCTGCTCTGTCGTGGCGACAGCACTGGCCATGTGGCCATAAAAAAAAAATACAGTTATTAAATTTGACCATTTAGCATACTTATGTTTTCATTTCAAACTTTCCGATTGCATGGTTACGCTGAATTTTCATAGATTTCCATTTATTTTAATTTCAATTTAATTATTTCTTCTGACATTGGGTTGGAATTAGGCTGTGTTTTTTATCATATCGTTCATTTCGTAATTATGGTGTATTTTTCTTGTTTTCGTTGCATTTCACTTGGTTTTTTTCTCCAAACTACTTCGATGAAGGAAAGAGTAGTCAGTGAATTGGGATAAACTGGTAACCAAAAGAGCTTTAAGTCAAAGTAACTGCCTAACCCACTCAAAGCAGCAGTAGTAGTAGTAGTTGTGATTGGGCGGTTACACCGTAGTGCTGTCATGCCGGACACCGCTTGTAAGGTTATGGCCTTTTTCTGTCGAGAGCGAAATTACACATCCTAACCTGATCAGTACATGCCCACAGCATTAGCCTTGCGGCGCCAAATCCTCTGGCTCACGACTCCCTGTCTACTCCAACGGTAAAACAGATAGCAGTGACATTATTTTAGTTATTGTGGTGGCGGTGGTGGTAGTAGTTGTACTGGTACTTGAAGGATAGTGTGGTAAATATTACACTAGCCGCATTTACTGCTCATTACAATTCCTGCTCCCTATTTCAGTCCAGAAGGACAGGGGTATCAACGTCAGTTACAAAAAAATATCGTCAGGTGATGACTTTCAAATCCTTCGATGAGGCAGAGAGCAGTATTCGGTGGATGGGGGAGGGAAGGGGGTGATGACAATTGTTAACTTTAAGAGCTTAACGCATGATTTTAAAGTGTTCATTTCTTAATTTTTTTATATTTTACTAACGCTACCTCCGCTATTTTCATTTTTTTTTAACGACTTACTTGGTTTTTTACAAGTACGGTAGTAAGCTTTACTTTTGTCTCTTAAAAAAAAATACACACAGATTTAGCATGTGATAACCAAATAACCATTTTTTTGACTGTGCTAATAATACCATTCAAACGACCACTAACATAAAGAAGCAATTATATGTTGCGTGTTTCAAAGTGGCAAACCAGACTTTCTCTATATCTGTGCAGAAAATGATTGCGACATTAACTATATTAGACACGTGCGATTTCTATTGTCTTTATTTTTTTAAAAGCCTTTGATGAGGGAGCGAGTATTAGGTGGATTTATGAAAAGGGGGGTGGGGGCAACGATGACTATGTATGTGAGCAGACGATTGCGACAGTAACCATATTAGACACGTGCGATTTTTATTTTCTTTTTTTTTCCATTTAGCCAATATTTAGCGTGGCCGGGGACAGCTAGTTATTTTATATTTTAGGGATTTACTTCTCTTTATGTTACTGCCGTTTATTGGGTTGCTCGACATGAAGTCTCTAACAATTCTAGTATTTAAAGGACACCACAATACTGCTAGCTGCCTTATATTGGTTCGATTTCCGAGGGGGGAAACCAAATATCTAAAACAAAAGGGACCGTATTATCAGACAGCTGTAACAAAAACGCGCTGTGGAAAAGATGTGAGCCTCACGGCATCGTTGGATTCATTCTCATTAGATAGCAAAACCAGTTAAGTCTTTGCATCTCAATTAACTGAATGATGGGTATTGTTCCACTAGTTCTTATTCTCTCTTCATTTTTAATACAAAATCTTCTGGTTAGCTCCAAGCCTTTTCACAAATATTTCATTAAACAGGAGGTCAGTTTCCACACATGCTATTTGACCAAGCCAAATACCGTTTCTTTATCACCCTATATGTGTGTGTGTGTGTGCGTGCGTGTGTGTGTGTGTGTGTGTGTCGCAGTCGGTACCTTGTGTTGTGGTTTACAAGTAGGCTGCGATAACTGTGCCTTTCAGTGCCACAGTTTACAAGCGGTTTGTTCCAATTCTGATTTGGCCGCACATTTGAATATTTTTACGATACATGTCCTTAACTTCTTTTATGTGCTACAATAAGTGCAAATCAATACCCATAAATTTATTTTATGTGCATTCCTACACAAGCTTATCTAATTATAACATTATAACTATGGCGGGAGGGGGGGGGGGGTGTCAACACTATACTCGCAATGTCAAACATGGATCTTCTCTAAAACTGATGCGCGCAGGGGCGCAACCATACACACGCACACACATGCAAACACACAAAGTAGGGCGCTTGGACCCTTTATAATTTTCTAGGGGTAGAGCCCTCAAGGTGCTGACACTTTTATTTTTATCATGTGTTGAATTGTAAATACATATATGAAATTATATTAAATGTATAAACAAAAAAATAAAAAAATAGAAAGATCGTCTTTACATGCTTAGGGTTACCAGCTAGCCCTAATCAACATATCAAGGGGACAGACACCCCCTCCCCCTCCAGCCACCTGAATGTGCCTGAGTCAAAGCCTATGTTCCGGCACCTCTGAATGATACAAATCATAAGAAAGATGTCTAAGAAGAGTAGCCATAGAAGCAAGAAGATATAGAATTTAACAGGAAGCAATTAGATGAAGAAGACTAGGACTGAAACAAATCATACGGTTTTGTGGTACCAACTTTCACAGACAGGCACCCTGAAGAAATATAATGAGTACACAGAGCAAGGGAAATACTACGCATAAAAAGAAACGATGACATCAAGAACAGCCTTAAATAAATGAAAAAGAAGATGATGATGGCGGTGAAACGACAGCAGCGTTGGTGAAGACAGCAAAAGCAGCAGCAGAAAACAAGAATTACTCATTTTTTCTTTCCGTCCACTGGCTGTAAACTACGGTGTAAAGTTTTGATTGTTTATCCACCTGTGGACTTTAGTCTTGTTCCAGAATCTGAGTGTTGCGTGCACATCTGTTTAACAGATCTGACGTATTTGTATGCAGATTGTTGATTATTTGCCTCTCGGGCAGATGTACTCCGACTTCAAAAGAAGCCCCTAATTAGTCGACTCTTACGACATGCTTGTTGGGGAGACAGTGGTTCTATTTTTTATTTTCCCCCCATAATCCTGGAACCCAAGGGAAATACTAAATCTACGCCATTCCGGCAAAATAACTAGAAAATAGAAAACAAACATGTAAGACTAAGAAAAGAGAACACCCAGTTATGAATTTGTTGAACACCTGATCCTGTCGATCCTTGTAAACCCGGCAAAATTGCAACAGTTGGCATGCAGTTATGACCAGACTGTTGTCTGAGACCTGCAATGAGGTTTATACAGTTTTTTGTTCTGGTTTACTGTGCATTTGGTAAGTAAGTCCTTGCGGCATTTTTTGCAGGTGGGAGTGGTAGTACTAGTGGTGGTTCCCGCTGGGTGCGAGCAGTGGAGTTGTGATCCTGGCCTTTCGTCTGTTTTGGTTTTTCTCGCTGGGGCCTAAGGGGGGGGGGGGGGGGGAGTAGACTTACTGGCGCTTCTTTGATTTATTCCCCAAAATGGCGGCATGCCACATTCTGGCTATAGAATATCCAAAAATATCCGAACGACGGTGTTCGCGTTTATCTAAAATACGGACTTTCTGCCAACGAACAAATCGCGGCAAAATTAGGATTACTTGACAACCAATATCAACATTTGCACACGGTACTAGTAGCAGACGATAAATACCGACCGTTGACAAAAATTTCGAGCGTTTCTGCAGACGACGATACTAGCAGACGATATTAGCGACCGTTGACCAATTTCGAGACATTACAGACGATAAAAGCCGATTAGCAATACTGTGTTCTTCCGATTGGAGGATTTAACAGCGGCAGATGTCAGACTTGTCGGCATGCGCCAAACGCGATTAAACTCATCGCCGAGCGTATCTAGGTGCCTGGGACTCACGAGTACAGTAATTGGAGGAAGTTGCAGGAGATGCGGTAGCTGCCACTCGTGAGTCCCAGCCATCTAGTTTAGCCCCCATCCGCGCCGCGCGTAGCGGCGCGGGGGATACGCTTTCGGTGGTGAGGCACACTCGCAGAAGCAGGTCGGCAAGCAACGTATCGCCTAGACCCTGTCAGAGCTTTTGTTTCGTTATTCGGAGCAGGCACATATATTTTTAATAGAACTGACCCCGCATTCGGATATTTTTGGATATTTTATGGCCAGAAATTTGCCAATTTAGCTCCTTTTTGAACGCCATCATATTACAGCCGCCATTTTGGGGAACGATTCAAAGAAGCGCCGACTTACTTACCCCCCCCCCCCCCCCCCCCCCCCCCCATGTCATTAAAGGATACTAATTATAAGTTATCTGAAATTGGATTTATTGGAACAAAAATCGCAGCCTAGCTGTAAACCACAACGCAGCCTTTTTTTCTGATAGATTAGGTAGATGCAAAAGAATAAGTATCAGCATTTGATAACTGTCGATTTCACTGCAAAAGAATAAGTATCAGCATTTGATAACTGTCGATTTCACTTTGCAAACCTTACTATACTTTATTGTTTTGAACAAAGTCTGCTTTAGGAACAGTCATCCAACAGCTGTTTCACCCAACCCCTCCCCCTTTTCTCTCTCTTTCTCTCTCTCTCTCTAGTGCAGTGATTCTCAGCCTACAGTTCTTCATGTTTATGATTCATTGTCCTTGTTTCTTAACCTAGCCTTTTTCAAGACACTTTGCCTTTTCAAGGATGCCAGTTAGATATAAAATGTAATGTTTATTCATTTTGGATTTTAAAATTATTTTACTTAGAACTCGTGTTGTTGTATTATCACAGTCAGCATTACTGCTCATTTAGTATTTCCATCCATCCTCACCCCCCCCCCCCCCCCCCCCCCCCCCACAATGCTGCTGCCATCCCAAAGTACTCTGCTCAAACTTTGTAATGTTATGGCGTCAAATATTGAAAGCTGTTAAAACTGCTTCACTCACTAGCAATATGCTGTCATCTTTTCTTCTCATAAACATATATTTTGGAAAACAGCTGAATTGCTTTATTATGAGTAGTGTATCACCTTCTAAAAACAGGGACAGTTAGGTTTTGAAAACATTTTTTCGGGCATCAGGACAAAGCATAAATAAGCCTGGGAACTGTTCCCATAAGGAAGATAAGTATAAAAACTAAATTTAAGAATCTCTTTTCACACTAGGAGGCATTTTGGTTATTTGTTGCTAGCTGAAAAAGTTTATAATCATCAGCATTCAATTGCTGATGTGGTCAGTATTACTTCCAAGAAAATTGCTGGTACCCTTGAAAGAACAGTTCTGTATAGGACTGTCATTATAACTTCTGATGATAACTAGTTGGGAGATTGAACAGGGTATCTGGTATCTGTCCTGTTGGCCTACCCTCCAGGTTAAAGATTCTTTTAATCTCAGGGTGGTAAACTTCCAGGTAGCAGCCTAAATAACACAGCTCAAACGATCAGTCTGATACCCTTGTTGTTTTGCTAATATGCCACAATGCTTGGGTCAAATAGAGAGAATGGCAGATAACAGAGAGACATAAAAGTGCATATACAAAAGAGTTCAATGGAAGTAGACCACGAGGCAGGCAAAGACAATGGTAGAGATATATGCACTCGGACACTACAAACGCTTGAGAACCAAGTGATGATGGTGAATCTGCAACCATGATCAGACTGCAAGAGCAACATGTTAAAAGGGGTGTGGCCAGACAAGAACACTATGGAAGAACCCCAAGAACAATAAGAAAGCAACACAGAACTGGTGTTGTGAACCGCTACACTGAACATGATTTACTAAGGAGGAAATCCGAGCAGTTAGGGACTTAATGGTTGATGTGCAATAAGGATAATCTGTCGACTAACTAATTAACACTTGAGTTACCAACTGGAAAGAGAGGGCCAGTCACAGATGAATAGAAGCAGGTCATACCTGCAGCAGTCAATGTGAAGGGCTTGGAATACTGAACAAGAAGAACCAGAATACCTATGTCAGTGAAAGTCTCTTCCATAAAGGGGATCTAAACTCATGCTCACAGTTTAACTATACAGGAACACTAACCACTGGTTTAATGTGGTAACTTTGGATAAGTGTGAGCAGAGATTTGTGTGTGCATGTTGTGTGTCAAAAGATGGTTGGAATTTAATTAAAATATAGCAAACATCTAGATCTTTTTCTTTAACTGAATAGGCCAGCATATTTGTTTAGTACACATAATTTACTTTTTGGATGTAGTAAATACACCACTTAATTCAAATTGGACTACATGTTACTTTGCATCTGTCAGGCGCCTCAATATAACTCTTTGTATGGTTGAACAGGGTTTCTGTGATTTGTTCCTGTTTCTCATCCATAACTTGGCTTTTTGAGTCACTGGGTGTTAATGTTTTAGTGTACAGTCCTAGAGGGGACAATTTAAGAAAAACATTCAACATTGTTTTTAAACAATTATTTAAAAAAAAACATTGAAATTATTTTTGTTTTTGCAGCTGAGTTGCATGATCAGCTGCTCTACTTTGAAACTCTTCATCATGTAGACGTGAAAGTCAGAAGGAAAAGGAGTGTGGATGGACATGATTCTCATTCAAAGGATATCAGTTTCTCTGCTTTAGGAAAGTAAGTAGTAAAACTGTCAACTTTGTCAATCTATTCAATGTGGTGTGTTAGAGGCTCATCTTTGACTTCAGCCAACCAAACTACTAGTCTCTAGTAGCATCATTGTTCATGCAGATGATGACACCCACACAAAAAAATTTACTAATAAGTTAAAAATGTAATGAAGATGTCAGTTTAAAACATATTAGCTCAAAAGAAAATATGTTACTGTTATCATAAGAAAATAGTCCATATTCGTTAGGTACATTATTAGCAATGGGAAGATTTGAGTATGTTGTGAACATAATATAACAGTTGGAAAAAATGTCTGCAAAACAAGACAGACGAAGACAAAGCAAGAAAGATTTTCAACAGCCTTTCACTAAATCAAGGAATAGCCTCAGCATACAAATGGATGCTTTCTTCAATAGATTGTAAGGTATGTCTTTGAAGAAAAAAGTTCAAAGGGCCTCTCGTGCCTTTGGCACATCAAGCATATGTTGCTGTATCTATATTTTTAAAGATAAACCACACCTGATGATTGAATTTGCAATCTGAGGCTGATCACCTTTACTTCCCAGGACATCTTTCACCAATTTTAACCTGGTCAACCTGGAAGCCAGGTTAGGCTTTAACAAAATTAATCTGTCTCGTTGCAGATTCAAATCCTTGGCCTTCGGGCCAGTAGGCAAGCATCTACCCACTATGCCTGTTGCAAGTTGTAGAGAAACAGGATCAGTCATATCAGTCGATTATGTACTTATATTATGATAATGATAAGTGTTATAGAATTTGAACAACAATCAGAATAATTGTTGCCCTTCCCTCCCTCCCTTCTCTCCCAAGAAACTTCCATCTGGTGTTAATGCCAGGCTCTCCTGCACTCAGTGCTGATTTCACAGTCAAGCTTGTGTTTGGTGATGGGCAGACAGTTCCCCTCTACATCAATGAAAATAATTTTTTCACTGGTCATCTTGCAGGTAAGATAACATTTTCACTGGTCACCTTGCAGGTAAGATAACATTTTCACTGGTCACCTTGCAGGTAAGATAACATTTTCACTGGTCACCTTGCAGGTAAGATAACATTTTCACTGGTCACCTTGCAGGTAAGATAACATTTTCACTGGTCACCTTGCAGGTAAGATAACATTTTCACTGGTCACCTTGCAGGTAAGATAACATTTTCACTGGTCACCTTGCAGGTAAGATAACATTTTCACTGGTCACCTTGCAGGTAAGATAACATTTTCACTGGTCACCTTGCAGGTAAGATAACATTTTCACTGTTGCACTTTTATGCGATTGTTTCTTGTGTAAATATTCTGTACATTTCATTACCAGAAATTCAAGATAGTCACTTAGTTGTCTTTGAAGTTTGACATTTACTGCATGCTCTTTTTGTCTGCACAATGTGGAATTGTTCATTTTTATTGTCACGGCCTCTGTCAATTGATAGGGACTGGTTTTTCCCATGTTACCATACACTGAACAGGCAGTTAATGAAGTTGATTGAAACTGTGACAATAAAACTGAAGAATTATGCATTGTGCAGACATAAAGAGTATGCAGTAAATGTTAATATCATTGTTAAAAGGTAAGAGAATTGGCTGAATTCATTGCACAAGGTTTTATCCCAGAAAATTTTGCATGTGTGAGTATTACATTTACAGATCATCTTCATGGCACATCAGACATGACCATAAGTGCCCCGATCTCCTACTGAGTGCGTCTCCAAGTATGTCCAGCAATAAAGCTTTGCGCATGAGCATTTCCTGTAGTCTGCTTGTAATGTAATGGTATCACAGCTGTCACTGATTCTATCCCATGAGTTTTTCACCCGAGTCACACACAACTATGATTCTAGCTGACATTCTCAACTATAGCTTACTTTTATGGTTGGGCCTATGTTAAAAGCATCATGAAAAACTCATGCTAGGGCTTAATTTTGCGGTGGTCTTATTTCTAAGGAAACACAGTCGCTCTAGCAGGGACTCAGGTCACTGAAATACTTGCACTCATGAACCAGAAGACAGGGTCTGAAAAATAACACACAGTCTTTAGAACACAAAGCAAACAGCTGAGCTACTTTGTTTGTCATGCAGACCACTTAGATTTGTTTACTTGCTATGAGATCATCCTGTATAAGGTCTTAGCTGCAAGATCTAACCAAATGATGAACAAGTGTATACAAGGATTGAGGTCTTTAATGTTGCTAAACAACAGTCTCTTTCCAGACAATCAGAGCATTGTTTCTTCATTGTAAGTTGGAGCAAAGAAGACAACAAGCAGTAGATTGCACAGTTGACTGTATGGCATATTTTGCGGTTTCCCGGTAGCATACCACAGTAACAGTTGAATATAGTGAAATAAAGCAATCAATACAGAATCAACTACACTTAGACATATCTGCCTGTTTTAACACAGATGTATGATCATGTCTATATTATGTGCAGACATCTGGACATAAATGATTTATTACATTTTATTAAATTTATTCATGACAGTGGGCTTCAACCTGGTATCAGTAAGACAACAAAAGAAGAAGGAGATTTTATTTATTATTCTACAATTTATAATTGCTTGACATATAAAGAATTCTAAAAGATGGCACCCTTGTTTATTGCACCCCGCCTTTTGAACTCATGTTATAAACAAGGACAGTGCATTTTGAATTGCAGTATACGTTGACCAATCATTGAATGCTACTCTTTGTTGAAGCCACAGCAGTAATTCACTTTTTCTAATCATTAAACATAATTGTATCTTTAAAATGTATCTCAAATGTTTTCAAAAGCGAACATGTCTATAATTTAACTAAATGTAAGTCATTTAAAAAAACAATTTTGTGCAGATGATGAAAATGTCAAAGCTGATGCCCATACAGAAGATGGCTTTTGGACTGCTAGTATTTATGACAAAGAGGACGTTTATACGCTGGAGGTAATTCAACAAATTTTACCACATAATGTATACACATTTTTATTTATTAGAAATACATCATTATCGTCATGTGCCCTGCCAACTGGCGTAGGCGCTCATGCGTCTCCACAGAATACGATCCCTGGTTGCCTGAAACAGCTCTCTTGATGATATTCCTCCATGCCATTGTTTCAGCCCATCCAGCATCATCTTTCTTGGTCATCTTTTTCCACTGATCTTTCTAGTTGTCACGATGTTCTCTGTCATTAGAAATATTAGAAATACAGGTTTATTCATTAAAATATATTAAAGTTGTACAATCCAGGTTAAAGGCAAGTGTCGAAAAATGAAATAGTATACTGATTTTGGCCCTCAGCCTTAGTTGACAGCTGGTCTACAAGGGAAGCTTCAACAAGCAGGCAGACAAAGCACTGCTTTTCTAGTCTGGCAGTTTCTGCAGCATACTTTATTCCAGACTTATTGGTGTTATCTTTCTTTTGGAGTAGACAAGGCATCTTTCTTTTGGAGTAGACAAGGCAGGCCAAGGGAAGGATAATGCTTCATGGGTAACACGTGGTCTCTGCAATACTGTCCAGGCTTTGTGTTATGAGAAATTAGTAATCTTGTTCCTGTGCCTCACAGTAGCACACACATAATATAACACTAGCATATGGAAAAGGTACCCACAGAATATTGCTTTTGGGAAGCCAGTGGCTAGATGTTTGCATGCCAGCTCTAGGGTCTTGGGTTCAGATTCATATTAAGATGGATTTTATAACTGGCCTGAGGCTCGCAGGGCCACCCACCCTAAAATGGAAACCAGGATGGGTATCCTGGAGGACAAAACTCAGAGTCGAGTAACAATTTTTGAGCATGTCACTTTGTGACAAGCCGTAAACTTAATTCATTTAACTCTTTCAGTACCAGGTATCTCACTATGCATTTATTGGTTACTCTATACTTAGTACACATTTTCTGTATTTTTTCCTTTCCTATTCTACTGTTAGGTTAACCTCTTAAATTTTACTTGCTACTATAGTTAAAATTTAAATTTCTGTGAGAGTAAACAAATGTTACTCTGATACAGAAACTATAGCATAGACACTGATGAATAAATAGCAACAAATTATGATTTTCTCAAGCATTCCTCGTCATAATCATCATGTACCCTGCCAGCTGGCGTAGGCACTCATGCGTCTCCACAGATCACGATCCCTGGTTGCCTGGAACAGCTCTCTTGATGATATCCCTCCATGCCATCGTTTCAGCCCATCCAGCATCATCTCTCTCTTGGTCTGCCTCTACCCCTTTTTTCCACTGATCTTTCCAGTTGTCACGATGTTCTCCAATGACTCTCTTCTCATTAGTGTTTGTCTCTTCCTTATTGTTGTATATAGAGATCTACTTTCATTAGCTTTCCTCATTCATTTCCTAACTCAAGCATTCCTCATCCATACAAAAATGTTATATTGTTTAAATACGTACTAATACACTGAAAATAAATACAAGATTGTTCTTTGTCCTCAGCCCTCATGGCGGCATCTGCCTCCATCAGACAATCACAGCATGATCATATATCGCCATTCAGACATCAAGTGGGACAATATATTTCCACATTTAGATAAAGCACCAAACAAGAGGTGAATCAGTAGTGTTGTTTTCATGTTTGCTATGGTAAATCAGATAGGCTCACTTGCAGGGTTACTGTGGAAACCTGGTGAGCACTGACCTGAGGTACTGAATGTCTTCAGAGGCAGAATAGAAAAACCTTTTGCCCCCAAATAGCCACACACAAAAAACAACGGACACTGCTGGTTGTTGCCCATTTCCCCTAAATGTCGCTTTTCCAGCTTGTCTGTAGTGACATGTTTATAAGATACATAGTTAATGTCATTGGCTGAGTTTGCTCTTGCTCAGAAGTTTAGGTCAGGATATGAAGACATTAACTCTTTGAGTCCCAGGGGGTTTAGCATCACAGGCCCAGGAGGTAGTAAAGAAAGTAATAAAATCGGCGCATCATGCATTCATTGGGCTTCTAAGTAGGAACCTATGAACGTATGATGCGTTCCTTGGGACTCAAAGAGTTAACTACTGATAGCATTTAGGGGGATTTTTCTTTGAGCTTTTTTTTAAAAGATTGTTTTTTTAGAAATCCTGTTTCTGTATGTCTTACTGTTTAGCATAGTTGCTAAATGCTTGCCTACTAGCCGATGGTCAAGGATTCAAATCTCATCAAAACAGATTTATTTGTCTACCCTGCCTCCCAGGTTGATCCAGTCAGAAATAGGTATAGGGTAATATCCTTGGAAGTAAAGGCGGATTATGACAACATCAACCATCCCTTTACAAAGGTAGGGCTAACAACATATGATTTATGTACCAAACGCATGAAAGGACACTTTACACTGTTGTTTAGACATATTTTGCAATCTTCTTTAAAACTTCCTTTTTTTTTCCTTCTAAATAAACCAAGTTGGCAACAGATTCCCTCATAAGTCTCAGGGGTAGAGATGACAGGGTCACAGCATGAGTTATTCGATACATGTGTTTTTCAGGCCCTAGGGATGTATTCCATTTAATACTTCACCCTTTGTCTGTTTACAGATTACTCTTTTTGAATATTTTTATTATTTAAAAAAAAATGATCAAAAAATTTAGATAAATATTTTTAAACAAATTTATTGAGAAGCGGCTGGCTCAACAGTTAGAACACTGGAATCTCACGGTTCAGATCAAGGGTAAGGCTGGGGATTTTTTTCTGTCAGGGGCAAATCCTTTGGCTCAAAGACACCCCCGCCTACACCGCAAAAGTGGTAAAATAAAGGCAGTAAAAAGAAAAGAAGAAGAAACAAATTTATTAGTGACCTTTGTTTTGGTTTTACAGATTTTTTCTGGGTGTTGAACAAATTTGTTTTAGAGTTCCCAGGGTGAAAGGGTTAATTGACTCGTTTAACTGTTTAGTGACAGACATCTATGACTTCAACACTTTGTAACTGAGAGTTTATGTACTTTAGAGCAACAGTCTGTGAGACTTAGTCAATTCTTCTTCTTCACCACTGTAAACTCTGGCAGAAAAATTGTGGTTGTTCGTTAACTTCTGGACTTCAGTCTTGACCCAGAACTTGAATTTTGCATGCACATCCATTTTACAGATTTGGGCTAATTTGTTCTGGAGACTGTTGATGCCTTGCCTGCCCGGCAGATGCACTACGACTTTGAACAACACATCCCTGATTAGTAGACTTTTACAGCATGCTTGTTAAGGGGACAGTGGGTCTGTTCTCCCCCCCCCCCCTCCCCCAAACATGCACACACACAAACACAGAGAGAGAGAGATAGGATCCCAGAACCCACACGATGGTCAGTTGATTTGGTGGTATTACACAGCAAGTAATTAGAGAACCATTTTCTTATTCTTTAGGGCACACTGGATATACGGTTATGCCAGAAGACATTGAGGCTCATTAAAGGGGATTTTTAAGAACAACCAGCAATTTTGCTGGTGTTTACAGCCATGCGTGCTAAGAAAAAAGAAGATCATCTTAACTCTGAGACCGAACATCTGTGAGGAGTTCACGTTACTAAGTTCAGGTGTCACTGAAGTTGCCAGATAGATATTTAAAATGTGACCATATACTGTCGTAAAGGTAACAGTAAATCGTCACTTTTTTTATTCTATGGTTGAAAGAAAGAAATTGTGCAGTGCTGTACATCCGGAAGATGAACCTGACTATAACCCTGAATGGGAACAAATGCAGGAGCAGATAGCAATGGAGAAAGATAAGGGTAAGTGATACTTCTCTTAGTCAGTTTGAGAATGAGTATCTTTATTTTTTTTATTAGCACACATGTTTAGTACCATAAGTCCTGATCACTGACTGACTGACTTTTTACCCCACTAGGACATCACACATCACAAAATGTTTCCACGCGGATGAGGATAACCGGTGGAGAGGTCCCAGAAACCCTATTCAGCCGTTAGGTTATATTAGAGCGACGGCAGCAACCAGGGTGGGGCTGGTCGCATGCAGATCGTGCACAGATCGTGCACTAAAACACACCAGTATTGACTAGGCAAAAAAGATGTCATAAGTGTTACATATTGTTGTTAGGTGATTGAATCTTGAAGAGTTGCGGCCGAGAAGTCCAAGGAAGATGGACGTGTAGTCTGGGCTGGTGTATCCCAGGGGAGGATTTTACTAAGGGATCTTACCTTAAATATCAGCTTTAAAGCTGGGCCTTAAAGAGGCATGTTATGTATACGAGGATTCGAAGTCAAGAAGTCCAAGGAGGCAGACCTTGATGTCCTAGTGGGGCTCATCGTAAGGGAGATTTACCCCGGGATCACACTGAGAAATTCAGCTAGGACGTTACTGCCATTTCTGCATGAAGCAGGATAATTTTACACTGGTGCTTTAGCTCAGTGGGATTGCTGGATAATTAGGAAGTAACAACATGGTCACGTTTATCAGTATTGGGCTGCATACTGACTTGTTGGAGAAACCAATAATGTTTCAAGGTTGAGCTGTTGACCTCTAGAGATATTGTGCAGTACAAGTTTCTATGATTAGATATGGAATCTAATCTTCATCGAGAGTATGTGTGAGGATGTTAGGAGTGATTTGCTATTTGACAATGTCGGTGAGCTCCTTTGCATTTATTCATATTCGCTGGCAATCTTAATACACCTTTTGGTATACCTTACAGCCTGGTGTTGTTCAGCTGGAAGAATTAACACATTTGAAATGGATTGTTGCTGTTGTACACTTGTCTACAGAGATTCAAACTGTTCCTGTTGGACCTATTCAATACGAAAATCATGCCATACTGTTTCCTTAGACTTGGCTTAGTAGAATGAACTAATTTATGTTCAAATTGTGTTGACTCGTTACCTTCAATTATGATCATACCTCCACACAATCATTCTAAGCCCCCTCACACGTCTCAGGGCTTCAAAGTAATGACAGTTTGTCCCACATGGGGATGGAGATACACACCGAACTAATCCTGATCACTGATGTTGTTTTAATGATATACTGACAGTAATTAGATTTTCCCCTTTACGTCACTTGCATTACCCCCACCCCACCCATATTGCTTACATGCAGGTTTACATGCACAAACACACTGGGTACCATCATCTAGATTCATTGCTCCAGAAAATGCTTTTTGCTTTGATTATTTATGAAAACATTGTTACTTTCTATTTCATATGTAAAGACTGTGCTAGCCTATACTGTTAGAACAAATTATTGCTGAAGCAGTACACTAAAGGCTTTCATGTCAGGGTAAGGATACACAACAAACAATGAAAGAAAAGAAGAGAAGAGTAGGATTTACCCTCTTATTTTGTTTCAGATGGAGGCAGGGCTAAACGAGCAGTGTCTGGCCCTAACACTTGTCAGATTATGGCAGTGGCTGACTTCACTTTTTTCACTGGGCCTGGGGGAGGTTTTCCCCACAGAACTGCCAATTATGTGGTAAGATCTGATTATCTGGTGTCTTGTACTTTCCATCTGTTACATTTTGAATGTATGTCAAGGACCCCCTTCCCCCCAGGTGGCGCCTCCTTTGGATATATGTCAAGACCCCCAGGTGGTGCCTCTCTTGGATATATGTCAAGACTCCCAGGTGGCGCTTCTTTGATATGTCAAGACCACAATACACCCCCCCCCCCCCTCTCCCCCCAAAAAAGCGGTTAAAAAGAAAAATCCCAAGAAATCTCAAGCTCTGTTAACAAGAATATTCACATACATCAAAGTGTCAATTAATATAAAAGACACAGTCAGCAACAACTATAATTTAGTGTTAAATATCAGTTTGATGGTTGACACTTGTTTGTCTTGATAAGTATCTGTTATTTTTTGGTTTGCTGTTGGATAAGGCACAACAGACATCACTCTCAGCATTAGGCTCTGTTTGTTTTTATGTTTGTTATATTTTAATGTATAATTAAACTGTTGAAAATTTTAGCATAACATATACAGATGCATTTAATTTCAAAATTGCTTGATGCCCCCCCCCCCTCCTTTTCCCTTCCCCCCAAACTTTATTGCCCTTTCCTAGACCCCAACCCCCTTTTCCATGCTGAAAACTACAGCAGACCTCCGCTCCTATTACAACCCATAGGACAGACTTTAACATTTGCCCGTTTCCCTTGTTCTATATTTACCTTTAAGCTTATCAGCATGTGTCTCTTCTTTCCTTCCTCTTCTGCATTCACCTTATGAAGACGGCTGGCAAATTATGTTAAGGTTTACAGCTAGGCTATGATACCTGCATCTTTCGGTCCCGCATGTCTAATTTTAGCAAACTCTTAATTTGTAGCCTTTTAGGACATCTTTGTTAGGGGGACAGTGGGTCTGTTCTTTTGTGCTGCCAGAATGGGCCCCACGAAGGGAAGTCTTCTCTATAAGTAACATTGCCTTCCATTGCTGTTCTTTCATTTTGTGAATGACACTAGACTGTTGGATGCTGTTTATGGGTGTTTTCTTTGATGTTCAATTCTAGTTAGTTAGTTAGTTAGTTAGTTGGGTTATCCTCATTGCACTCCGGACATGTCCATAGGTGCTCAGATCCTCCCCTCAGTATGAACGCCAACGTCCGATGGCTAATAGTACCAGTTCTATGTTGATTAACAAGTCTTCTGGCGTAGCTGGTGTGCGTCTCGTTTTTTGCTGTGCCGATCTTAATTCCCAAGTCTGCCATTCTGGCGAGTGATCGGGATTCACTGCCACCAAAGTCGTCTATCCTTCCCATTTCTCTGAGGGCATTGATAATATCAGCATGATCCATAGGCTGACCGTCGGTAGTGATAGCGGATCCAGCCAACCTGTCAGCTCTTTCATTTCCATCGACGCCTGCGTGTCCCGGAACAAAAATAAAGGTGACTCCACGGACAGTGGACTTCTGTAATGATTCAAGCCATTGTCTTCGCACTGAACCTGCCTGAACCCTCCGGATCATACTCATTGAATCACTGAGTATACACACGCGGGTGTATTTTTGTGTTTCAAGCCAGGCAAGCGCTTGTGTCACTGCCATCACCTCCATCGTCATGCTGCTGGTTGTCATGGAGAAGGCGCCGTTGGCTTCTTTGACTGTTCTGCCCGCTGAGCGTGCTGTAAATGCCCATGCGCTTCTTCTTTGGCGTATAACGGATCCGTCTGTATAGATTATTGCATCTGCTTCGTCTGAATTTTCACCGATGAGAGCGTTGACCTCTGCATTAACAGCAACAGGATTCTCTTCTCTACATCGCCTGTTGAGTGTGACAATACAGGAAAATGTACAAATAAACGTTTGAGGCACAGGTATCCATTCTGTTCAATTCTATCAGATTACAAGGGGGCTTCAAATGAAAACCTTCCCCATATGGGTTCTGTGGCCTCATTGTGGGGAATACAGGACTAGACCCACTGACTTCCCAACAAGCATGTTGTAGGGGTCGAATAATTGAGGGTTTCCTTTGAAGTCAGAGTGCATCTGCCTGAGTCGCAAGGAACAATCAGCTGCAAATAAATAAACCAGTAAAATGGATGTACAGCAAAACTCAGGCATCCAAGTGTATGATCAACCATGACTTTCCATCAAGCTTACAGCCGTGACCAAAGAAGAAAATAAATAGCAAATAAATAGCTTAAAAGTGTGATAGAAATTAAAATAACCGTGCCATTGTTTTGTAATCTGTAAAGATTTTTGTTAAGGGTGTCAACAGTGCGGATGAACATGGTGACATCATAATAACAGCTTAAAGATGGTTGCCCCACTTTTGAATGCACCAAAGAGGAGCAGTTTTCCGTATACACTTTTTTATCAGTAAAAGGGTGAAACGTATTAGAAAGTGATCGGTGAACAAAGGTTCAGTATGGTGATGCACACTGTCAGTCCAACAAGTGTGCAAGTGGATTAGGAAGTTTCAAAAGGGCGTGACTTCTGTGACAAACATGTTTGTGTGCATCATAATGCCACATGTTTATCATTCTTGACATCCTTAACAACAATATTAACAGGTTACAAAACAGTGGCATGATTATTAGTTCTATCACATTTCTAAGGCTTTCATCTGAAACTCCTTTGTGACTATCTAGGTCACAGTGCTGAGTCTGATGGCGTTAGTGAGACCATACTCTTACTCAGGATGAGAGATATCAGTGTCCAGAAAGAGTTGTGTGCCTGGTGTGAATCCCACCATAGAGCTAAGCATTTCTATCAGGATGTCTGGTTTTCCAATGATGTGACATGCACCCTGGATCAGAAGATCCACTGTGTAGGTAAAATCAAGGATGCTTAAAATGCAAAAAAGTAGGCTGTAAGGCTGTTACCCTGGCCAAATTGTTATAAATAAAAGAACCAGTTATCTTTACTAATAATACGAAGCAAGCCTTACATGAATGCATGCATAAATCAATGACATAAACTTGAAGATTTCCAGTGTTTTCAGTTTGCCAGGTGTAGTCAAGACAGATTTCAAATGTTTTCAATTTACCAGTTGCAGACAGGCAAGATTTTAAAATGTTTTCAGTTTGCCAGCTGCAGACAGGAAACATTTTATGTTTTCAGTTTGGCAGCTTTAGCCAAGAAAGATTTCAGATGTTTTCAATGCAGCAGCTGCAGACAGTGAAGATTTTAGGTTTTCAGTTTACTAGCTGTAGACAAGAACAATTTCAGAATTTTTTCAGTTTACCAGCTGCAGGCAAAGAAGGTTTTCAGTTTGCCAGCTGCAGCCAAGAAAGATTTCAAACATTTTTGGTTTTCTAGCAGCAGACAGGAACAGTTTTACATTTTTTCGGTCTACCAGCTGCAGATAATGAAGATTTCAAATATTTTCAGTTTTCTTTCTGCAGACAGGAAAGATTTCAAATGTTTTCAGTTTACTAGCTGTAGACAGGAAAGATTTCCTTAAATATTTAGTTTGCCAGCAGCAATCGAGAAACATTAAACATGTTCAAACTTTGCCTGTTTAATTCTGTCTGCAAGTTAGCAGTAAAGTAACAGGCAAGTTAGTTAGTTAGTTGGTCTTTCTTCTTGAGCCTAGGGTGGTGCATGGGGCAGAGGCCATAACTGTCTATGTTGAGCGGTTAATTGTCACCTGTTTTAGATCTTGTATGTTCATTAGGCCCATGGTTGAGCCTTCCCTAATAGTTCTGTGCAGGTTCTCTCTTGGGAAGAACAGTCAAGAGGTGATGTCTATTTATTTCCTTTGTTGCAGATTCAAACCATGCAGAAAGTTAACAGGATCTACAGAGAGACATCCTGGGGATATGATTCACCGCTCCTGAGCATGGGATTTCAGATTAGGGAGGTTTGTTTATACTTATACTTATTATAATATGTGTTCAGTTTGGATTTGATTTAACATGTACCCTTTTTTTTTAACCCTTTCAGTCCCAGATGGTTTCAAAGTAGAAACCAAGTTTGGCACAAAAACCACAGTGAAAAAGGCATCAGTGTATGACTTTCAAAGATACAGAGCACACTGTGCTGCATTTGAAGTGAATATGTGGCCAGATTTCTTTTGCATACCCAGACCAAATATGAAGTAAATAATAACATACCATGTATTGTGTTGATACAAACAGACAAAGGCTGAGCTCACTTGGTGCGTTGCTTGGGAGAGAAAGAGTTGAAACATAAATATAAGGGCTCACATATGTACAATGTTTCTCATAAAATGTATACATATTTTGATGTTTTAGAAATGCATGTTTATTGAAATATTTTTATTTTTTATTTTCAAATTTTTGAATTTCAGGTATCTTAATCTGTTGCAGCTGTTGGAACTATTAAATATTCTGTTTCTGTCATTGTTGATAATACAGATAATAGATGGTATTGCAAACATGGGGGTCGCCGTGCCTTTCCTTCACCATGCCTTCTACTTTTCTACAAAATATGTCAATATGCGAGACAAGATGTCGTCTGCTAGCCAATCTTCCTTAATGTTCAGATCTATTAGGCTGTCAGCATTTCTTTTCTTCTTGGTCTATTCTATATACTGTTGTGAGAATCTTTCTCAGGATAAATTAAGATTACATGTTCACTACTTCCTATTGAAGTGATCTTCATTTCTCAGCCTTGAACAACACCCTTCTGTCTCCTTCTTCTTCTTCTCTTCCTCCTTTTCTTCTTCCTCTTCTTCTTCCTCCTCCTCTTCTTCCTCCTCCTTCTCTTCTTCCTCTTCCTCCTATTCTTCTTCCTCTTTAACCACTTCAGGTGTCTAGGGTGATATATGGTTCTGCTTCTTGCTGTTAGTGGCCAAACCATTTGATTTTCTGTCCTTATATGTAATTTAGAATTGGTCACTTTTTTCTTGTATGACCTCATTCCTGATTTCATCTCTTCAGGTCACTCCTGCAGCCTTTCTCAGACATAGAGATACTATAGGTAGAGGGTCAATTCTGGGCTGTGAAGAATGAAACTGAATCAACTGTGGGCAGGGAATGTGAAGGTTTTGAAAACTGTGTCGAGAATACCAAGGACAGAAAAGAAAAGCGATATTTTAATTTGGATATCCACACGTATTAAAATATCACATTTAATATACTGGTTGATTACCTGGGTCCTTCTCTTCCACAGCTGAGGATCCACCCAGAAAAGACAGCTACAGCTAACTACCACAAAAATGGCAGACATTACAATATGTTTGATGATCAGAACAGCTGGCCTGACAATGAGCTGTTGAGGGTAAGCATTTTTCAAATTCCTGTTTTTCTTTCGCAGCAGGTCATGCAGACATGTATAGTTGAAACTTTTTTGTATAATGAGTTGAGTCAGCATGGTTTTAGAGAACATTAAGATTGAGAACAATCCAGGAACAGTGGTTTAGAATTTAACTGATTGTAAAGGAGCTTGTTTGGGGAGAAATAAAAAATTTTAAAAAAACCTTTAAATCTGTGCACTATTGTCTATTACGCACCTCTTTTAACAACAGTAAGAAGACAGAAAATGCAGACATGTAACAAGATCTACCAATATCTATAGAATGATACTACAGGGCTGGGTAGAGGGAAAGAGCAGAAGAGGTAGACCAAGAAAGAACTGGACACTAAATTTATTCGACTCGACTGTCCTCAAATATAAAAAAATGAAGCCCAATGCATGTGATCGACAAAGGTGGAGGCTGATCAAACAGTTAACAGCAACTTGTGACCCAGTGATACGTGGTGTTAGGGGACTGGAGATGACAGTTGTCTAGAAACTTGATATTTATGTCCGTAGTAAGCCATACAAATGTAACACTTGTGAACAGTATATGTGTGTTCTGTCATCTGTGATAAAGTGTGACCATTTATTCTTTATTATTCTCCTCCTCTGCTTTTAACTCTTTCAGAACCAAACACAGCACTGTCTGTGACAAGGTGTTACTCATATACACCTTGCAATGTATTCTGTGTGTTTGCACTAAAAGACTGACTGACGTTCAATCCCACCAGGACCGCACAGTGGGCCATAAACACTGGTGGCCCAAAGTGCCACCATTTGGATGAGAATCATCTGAGGGCAAGTCCCAGAAACCAAGTTTAACCCATAGATTCTATTTAGGACCCCCGACAACAGCTAGTGCTTTGAAATAACAACAAATTGCATCACTCATTGGAACGAGGATTGAATCAAGTTTATACTATTTGTACATTGTACATTTGTTAAAAGGGATCAGATACGATCGTCTGGTACCAAAAGAGTTATATGAGCGGTGGGACGTTGTGTTGCAGTTTACAGCTAGGCTGCAGTATTTGCACATTTTGACCCAACTCATCTAATTTCAGCACACTGCTAATAAGTCAACTGTTTTTTTTTTTTTTTTTTTACATTCTTGTTAGCAAGCAGTGGGTCTATTCCCCCCCCTCCCCCCTCTTCCCAGTGGGGCCCCAAAATTTACAGAGGGAGACAGTTCTATTCTGTAATTATGTTTGTTCAAACTTCTCTTTCTCTCTCTCTCTCTCTCTGTCTCTCTCTCTGTCTCTCTCTCTCTCTCTCTCTCTCTCTCTCTCTCTCTCTCTCTCTCTCTCTCTCTCTCTCTCTCTCTCTCTCTTTCTCTCTCTCTCATCTATTGTTTAGAAATTTGTGCTGTTAATTGTTTGTTGTTGCTCATCTGTTAAAGCAGCAGTTCTCAACCTGCAGCTCGCGACCCTTGTTTGGGTCAAACAGCCTTTTCCCAGCGGTCACCTAAGACCATTGAAACACATTTATTGAAGTTATAAGATAAAATAATTGTTTGTGTATCGCCACAACATGAGGAAACAGTATTCAAGAGTCGCGGCATCAGGAAGGTTGAGAGCCCCTGTGTTGGAGGGTTCCACATACATCTTCCTTGGTCTTACCCCATCTCTCTTATCTAGTATTTTCCTCTGAGACCAATTTCTGTTTATTTCATGTCTTTTGGTGCTGCTCCGTAAACTTTATATGAGTTGTGCTAATGGTTTTAATGGTTAACACTTGCATTGTTGAAGATCTCAGCATTTGTTTTTCTTCCCTGTCTACAATATTCCCACATCTCATGGAAGACAAGACAAAGGTGGACACATATTCAAGACACCTTGGGCATGACAATGCTTGATGTGGGGAAATGGACAAGGAGCCAGGAGTTTTTTTTTGCCAGACCTTGTTTAGCTGTTATGGTCCCTTAGCTCCATAGAATGGGTAAAAATAATTTCAGAATTTTCTGGAAGTTGCTTAGGATAAAACGGAGATGAAGAAGGAACTAGGTACCCTCTTCCTCCCTTTACCATTATCATCAGTTAACTCAAACTGTGGTCTTGTTAAAGATGTGGTAGAATTTATGAGCTTAATATATGAGATTCACTCTCATATCAACCCTCCTTAGTTTTTGACTTGCATGGTTCCTCACAGTGTGACTCTTGTTATAAGCTTTTATTAAGTTCACGCTTCTTTGTTTGTCTGGTTGTAAATTTTGCTTAGATTTTTGTGTGTGTACTATGTGGAACTGGTAACACATCGGCGATCATCTACTTTGAAACGTTCTATATTATTTTTTTTCCTTAAGCAATTTGGAGAGGACCCAGATGTTGGCAAGTTTTGTTTGGCACACCTTTTCACTCACCGAAGATTTGCTGGTGGAGTTCTTGGTCTGGCATACATTGCTTCCCCTCGGAGATATGCTGTTGGTGGGATTTGTTCAGTTCAGAGTATGTGCATCAGGGAAGAGTTAGTTTACTATAGTGTCCTCATATTTGGCTGGCATGCATAAATTTATGTTTACCCACATAGTTTTTTTTTTTTTAAGGTGGCTGCCTCCTTGAGCATACAGCAAGGACACCAAATATATGGCAAGGACACCAAATACATAGCAAGGACACCAAGTATCCAGGAAGGACACCAAAATTTATGGCACCACATAAACAGCAAGGACACCAAATACATAGCAAGGACACCAAATACATAGCAAGGACACCAAATACATAGCAAGGACACCAAATACATAGCAAGGACAACAAATACATAGCAAGGACACCAAGTATACAGGAAGGACACCAAATATATGACAAGGACACCAAATATATGACAAGGACACCAAATATACGGCAAAGACACCAAATAAATGACAAGGACACCAAATACATGGCAAGGACACCAAATATACGGCAAGGACACCCCCCCCCCCCCCCCCCCCCCATAGTACAATAGAGAAAACCTCAAGCACTGTTAACAAGAACTTGGAGAAAAACATCCACATAAATCGGAGTGTTGATAGCATAACGTCTTTTTCTTTTTGTTAAATTTGTAGTTTGAAAAAAAATATTTTTTGTATAGTTAAGCTGAAGAAAATAATGTTTGTATAACAGACCATTACAATGTAATCATTTTCAAAATTACTTGACACCCTCTTGAAACCATACCTCCCTCTCCCAGGTTGGTAACCATTAATCTACACCATGACCTAGCCAGCTATGTTGCTCTGTAGAAAGAGGCTAAGTATCCTATACCCACCCACTTGTGTAACTGCCGGGTACCCCAGTATAACTGTCGCACAGTTGAATTTGGTTCATGGAATGTGCTTCTGTTTGAAGGCAAAAGGCTGACCAAGAAATTCATGGGCGGAGGCAGTAAAAGAGAGACACAGTAAACATGCAGAATGACATTAATACAAGTTACGCAACTAGCAAAAGACAGGAAACTAAATGTAACTCTTCTCTCTGATGCCTTATATATAACATAAGCAGTAGGACAAAAGAAGAAGAAACTTGTGTTTGATTCTTGTCCTGACAGCGACTCTTTGAGGGCTTGACTGTTAATCTTTCATCCTACAATCCTGGAGGGAAAATATTGCAAATTTAAGTCATTAAGGATCAAGTCCTGCACAGCGAAGTTAATCACTTCACCTTAAAATACGGTTTTTATCAAGCTGATTCAACAGTTGTGGCTGCCAGGTCGACCAGGCCTAAAACTGTCACCAGGTAAAGTCCTGGGAAGTAAAGGTGGCTGGCATGATGCTGAGCACATGACCCACTGAGTGTTGATTGGTCTATAAAATATGGGTCTAGCACTGTGTATGCCCAATACATCTAATGGCATGGAAACAGGTCCTCTACTGTGTGAGTTCAGTTCTCTTGTCTTGTGTAATTTGTTTCACCGACTGACTGACTTTCTACCCCACCAGGACATCACACAAACGATAAACACCCGATGACACAATGTGCCACCATGTGGGTGAGGATCACCGTGGAGAGGTCCCAGAAACCCCGTTCAGCCTTTAGGCCATATTGATGGCCAGGCTATATTGCGGCCCCTGGCAAATCCAGAGTAGGGCTTCAAATAACAAAAAATTTTATCCTGAAAAGGACGGGAAGTATAGTATTTGTTTCACCACAGAACATCAGTACATAACTAGCATGGTACACATGGATAAATGAAGTCAAGAAATATATTCACGAAACAGTTTGTGACAATGAGAAATATCAGAAATTGTAGAATATCTTGAAAAAGAATTGTTGGTTGAAATAAGATTGCTATTTTTATAGATTGCTATTTTAATTTGTAATCGTTTTTTTTTTTTTTAACCGTAGGAGAAAATGAGAGAGCTTTCAACACTGGATTTAGTTCAACCAAAAATACTAAGGGAAACAACCTGTTGACACAAGAAGCAATGCTGGTTACAGCCCATGGTGAGTTTACTTTTGTTGTTTTGTTTTGTTTTGTGGAATTCTGTAGCATTTACCAGACCAGTATTTGAGGGTCATTATTTCCAAACGTTCTTAGTAGGAGGTTAGCATCTCCAAATATTTTCAAGGGAAAGTCAGTAGTTAAGGTAAGTATTTCCAGTCAGTATTTCAAATGTTCTTAAGTCAGTATATGGGGTTTAAATATTTTCAAATGTTTTCAATGGGATGTCATATTTCTAGTGTACTTGGACATTTTTTAAATTTTTATGAAACATTAGACAGAAAGAAACTCCTGTGCCACTTGTACATAAGGAAGCCCTTATGATCTTTTCATAACTTTTCCTGGTGCTGTTTTTTCTTTCTTTTGACTTGACCTTGGAGTTTGGGTCTAGTTTTGTGAATCCCTTGCCTTGACAGGGATTTGAACACCATCATTGTTGAAGGGGTACCATGGTGGAAGCATTAACATCACTGTGAGCCAGCTAACTGTCGTAGTATTTTATGGGGTAAGAGATCTAGTTTGTGGTACTTGCATCTGCTTGAAAGGCAAGGAACCAACAGACTGCATACAAAAAAGCCAGATCTGTAAAACAGATGTGTACTCAAAGCTCAAGCTCTGGATCAAGATGAAAGTCTTGCAACAAAGAATCAAATAACATGTCTTTGGCTTTTTGTTTTATACATATTTTTTTTGAAAACATTTCAATAATAATTAAATTGAAAAGCAAAATGTTACATCAGAGATAAATTACAAGTATATATGCAGTCAGTGTCAAAATTGCTTGTGAACCTTCCCCCCTCCCCACTCCCCAAATCCTTAAAAGTTGCATCTTCCTTCCTCATAAGGATATCATTTCTTGAAATGGCAGCTGCTGGATCCCAAAGAATTAAGCCAATAAAAATGCAACTAAAAATACAGTTGGTTTCGTAGCAGATTGACATTGTAACTCCTGAGGTTAGAATTTAATGTATTAAGTATTTTTTTTTTTTTACAATGCACATAATTATAGTCATCCAGATGTTGACACTGACTCTTATTTTTTCTCCTTTTTTTTCTTTCATATGGTGTGCTTGGTTCCCAAAGAATTTGGTAAGTAAATTTGTCAGCATAAAGCAAGCTTTTGTCAAATGATATTATTTTCATTTCTATTGTTTTTACAGTTTATTATAAAATCGTGAGTAAGGTTTTTAGGAAAATGTTTCAGTATAGTATTGTTCTGCTGTCTGTTCTTTCTCTTTTTCTTTGTTTCTCTATCTATGTGTCTCTCTGTCTCTCTTTCTACCTTTCTTTTCCCTTTTCTCTCTTTTTGTCTCTCTTTTTCTCTCCCTCATGAGCAAGATTTTTGTTTCACCTCAGTCTGTCGTAGGTTTCTTGAACCAGATCTGTGTTTGTGGATTATGCTATCACACCTTGCTGTCCTTTTACTCAAACTCAGAAAAAGTTATCATTTCTTTTGGTACACTTTAAGAAGAAAAGAAATTAAAACGTACAACAACTGCAAATAGTTATAGAAAGAAAATTAAAGAAAGAAGTGATTTGATGTCCCTTTGTCCTGACTGAGAAAATTGTCAGAACATGAATGGATACATGCTCTTGAGGAATTAGAGGATTTGAAGATAATAACCCACACCATTAAGGATAGACTTGTGCCTTCCTTTCTTTTATAGAAAAAAAAATGTTGATCTTGCTCAAATGCTTTTCAGCTACAGTTATGGTCAGTTTTTTTTTTTTTTTGGTGTGTGTTTAATATGTTTAATGTTGTTCTTTTTTTTTTCGTTTCTGTGACGGCTAGGTGCTGTCTGATATATCTCTTTTTTTGCCACCCATATATGGCGTGTCTTGGCTTGTGGGGTTTCTGCCGTTGTTAGGAATTGATGCTTGGTTTGAGTCCTTATAAGGAAAATGAAACAGTACTCTTATCATTCATTGGGGTGCACTGTTTTCATTGCTTATGATATTGGCAGGGTACACACAGAAAGGAGAGAGCTAAAACACTGCTGCAGGAACTAAACAGGCTGGCCAAATGGTTCGAGGTATTGGGTGCTTGAGTAAAAACAGCTAAGGCTGCAGTGACATGGATCTGACTAAACAACAGAGTTGTGAAGACACCTATGCCTATTGTCAATATGTGTGGAAATGGTATTGAAAGGCCTCTAGACCTTAAATACCTTAGTATCCACTTTGGTAGGTGTCTTGTCTTTCTGACAGCATGTCGATGATGTCATTATAAAAGCTAATAAAGGCCTGGCAGTGCTCAAGATGATGGCAGAAGCTAAGTTGGAAGAAAGACAACTGATTATGCTTCTTTTATGGTTTGGTGTTCTCATTGATTGAATGTGGTCTTGGCCTCCTCACAATCAGCAGACGTCAGCTGGAAAGACTAGAGAAAGTGAAAAATGAAGCCATTAGACTGGTCCTCAGGTGCACAAGAGACATGTTAGGTCATGCCATACAATATATCCTCAACCTGCCAGGCATGGTCACTAGACACATGATGCCCCAAGCGAGGGCCTACCTGTGTGTTGCTGCTGACATAGAACACCTTATGCACAGCTGCCAACAGGTAAACAGAAGTAAGTGCTTAAAGAGGACCAGACCTGGATGGTGGAAGCAGAGGACATCATTGGCCAGATATGCTGAGTGGAACACTTCAGGCTCGTTGCTGAATAGACAGAAACACCAGAAAAAATGCAAGAGCCCATTAAGGTAGTAATCACCCTGGGCAGGTATGGCAGAGAATAAAGCTAAATATTGGCTAAGGCTGAAATAAGGGTCCTTATCAACGAGCACACTTGACCAGGAGATGTCATCATCTACACAGATGACTCACTGTATCATAGGATACAGTTTGGGTGGGCAAACATAGTGCAGGTGGATAGGCGGACACTAAAAGATAAAAGTCAAGCATTCAGTTCTGTTAATTCTAGTAGACGATGGAGTTAACAACCGTCATAGGGATACTTGTATGGCTGGTTGAAACAGAAAACAGTGCACACATTGATGGTGACAGACTTGATGAGCTTGCTTAAGAAGATTTGAACTGGCAGACTCTGACTGGAATGGGTTGACAGCATCCAGAAATCATGCCTCAAGAAACGTTTTTGGCTGTACACTACAGGACATGTTGGGAGAAAAGGAAATGAAAGAACTGACAGACTGGTCGTGTCTGCGGTAGTTATGAGATAAGAATAAGGAACTGGTCAGAGATACTGAATGCACTGTCTTCCAGAGATGTTGATGTAAAAGAATCAGAGATGATGAACCACCCGTTGAAAATGGATTTTGAATGAGAACAAGCAACTATGGAGCAAAGAAAGAAGATATACCAGTCAGCTCCTACTGGGTACGTTGAGCATGGAGATACTGATATGTCTGCTTCATCTGCATCAGAGTAGAGAGCACGAATGGGTCAGGCCGATTTGCTGATAACCAGTGACTTGTCATTCACAGGTCATAACTGGGGTGCTGAGCATGATGCAGAGACGCCTGAATGCTCACCTGATGGCTTCAGTGGAGGCAGGTTTATCATGTACCCATACGCTGTCAGCGGGTATGATGAAAACAATCATGTGAGTGGTCCTGTCTTTGTTTTTTATTTACTTTGTTATTCCTCTGTGGAGCAGCTGCTCAAACCGTTAAGAACGCTGATCTCTCATGTCGGAGACTCGTCTGGAACCCTCGGTAAGGTTGTGGATTTTTTCTATGGAGGACAAAAATAAAATCTTAACCTGCACAATCTGCAAGAGCACTATCTATGTGACCTGAAATCTTTTTTTTTTTTTCTTTGATGGCAGTTATTTCTTTTCTACTCTAGTTTGGAAATTACCTCATGACAAAACAATCAGAGATGTGAGAAAAAGGTGAGGCCTTTACATATTTTAAGACATGAAACAGTTGTTTTACCAGTTCCTTTCCTATGTATCTTCTCCAGAAATTATCCTTCAGTCATTTTATGCCTAAGATTTAAGATCCCTGATCTGTACTAGTCAAATAAATTAAAGTGCAGTAAAGCATTCCAGCTTATATAAAGAATGGGAGTTGAACAAAACTGTTACAGATTGCATTTACCACTTTTGCAGTATAGTTTGACCCTGAGGATTCAGCCTCATGGCTAGTGCAGTCGCCTTGGACTATGCCAGTTAGGATTTTATTTTTTGCCCCCGACAGAAAAAAATTCACAGCATAATTAAAGCTTTGAACATGGGTCTCCAGCATAAGAGCCCAGGTTCCTAACCATTTGGCCAGCTGCTCCTCATGTATTGATTAGATTAACAAAAATCAGAAACTGGAACCTGTGTTCTTGCTGTAATTGACATTTGGAAATTGTTTTTCTGTCCTGCAGTCTGCTGTGTTTCAGGGTGTCCACTCCACATTATCTGTAGCTAATGCAACATTCTCCATTGAGGTCTGTCCTGAAAATATTTTGGTCACGTTGAGCATGACAGGAGTATAGATTCATCATTATCATCACGTGTTATGCTGAGCAGCTCAAGCAGTCATGTTTCTACACATTAGTCGGTCCACTATATTCTTGATTTTACCTTCAGTGTCACTCTAACAAACCTTGTAGCTTTTTCTCTTTTTCACTTTCGAAAAGTTCTACTTAGAATAACTTAACAACTTAATAAAATAAATACCACTTTCACGTAAAATATATCATCATCATCATCATCATCATCATCATCATCAGTTGCCTTGTCTTCCCATGTGAGTTCCAGGTCCCCATTGTTGGGGGTGGGGGGGGGGGTGGGGTGGGGGGGGGGGGGGAGAATAGACATACTGCAACCTCAACAAGCATGTTGTAAAAGTCAACTACTTACGAATGTTTCCTTGGAAGTCAGAGTGCATCCCCCTGGGAGTTGAGGGACAACATCAGCTTACAAATAAACTTGATCTGTAAAAGGAATGAGCACACAAAGCATAAGTTCTGGAACAAGAGCAAAGTCCAGAAGTGGACAAACAACCAGAATTTCCCACAGTTTACAACTGGTTAATATAAAAAAGAAGAAATGCCTTGCCAGCATGTGTGGACACTTATTCCTCTCCACAGCCTCTCCAACAGCTTCCATCAGCTTATGTGCTGACACCCCTCCATGACATGTCAAAAGACTGTCAAGATTCTTCTTGCATCATCTTCCTCTGTCTCTATTTCCTGATTCATTCCAGAGTCATGTGTTCATGTTGTTTTGTTGTTCTTTTAACCAGAAAGGGAAAAAAATGGCCTCCTCCTGGTGGTTTTGATGTTGTCTTTGAGCTCTCACCTCTTTCAAAACACCTGGCTGACCCAGTTTTGATTGTCTTCAGAATTTTAGTAATTCTTCTGTAAACCACAACTCTGAGGCTCTCAGAAATTGCATGTCTGTGTAGGATTCACACCTGAATGTTAAAAGTGGCACTGTGTCATCATCATCAAGTGCCTTGGCAGCTGGCGTAAGTGTTCATGCATCACCCCAGATCTCAGTCTTTGGTGTTCTGGATCAATTCCACTAATGATATTCCTCCATGCTACTGTCTTAAGTCATCCACCATCATTTCTCTTGGTCTGCCTCTGCCTCTTCTACCAGTGATCTTTCCAGTCGTCACAATATTTCCCAGTGCTCCTTATCTCATGAAATGACCAAAGAACTTTGTTTGTCTCCTTCTCATTGTTCTGTAAAATGTTCTACTTTAATTGTCCATTTCCAGGCATTCAATGTTGGTTTTTCTGGCAGTTCAAGGTATTCACAACATTCTTCTGGCTTTGTATAGAATATGCAAATTCTGTTTCTAACACCCCACTCCCAACATGAATTTATTGTTCTTCATTTTATAAAGTGCAGATTTTATCTGACGTATTCTGTTATTTATCTCTGATACAACTTTTACCTGATGTTATCTTTGCGCATAGATACTTACACGTCTGAACTTGTCCACAAATAATGCCCTTTACTGTTTAATTTTTTATTTTATTACATGCATTCATAAATCTGTTCTTAGATATTACCATTGCTTCTGAATGCCAGTTATTTAAGCTGAGGCCCATTCTTTCATTTTCTGTACCCACCTTATCTATAATTTCCTGTAGTTCTTTCTGACTTGTCATCAGCGTAAAATAACTAACAACTTAATAATTAAACATGAAATACTTGTAACAGCTTCCACATAAAATAACTAATGTCTTTGCCTATGCTTCTCTTATTATACATCCCAACTCCATGTACATTACACTCTGCAACACAATTTTATGTTTAAAACTGTATGAATGTTTAATCTTTGCACAGCTGATGACAGTAATGCTTTGACATACAAAGAGTTCCTAGTATGGGCTTGGGGCCCCTTTTGGGATAGGGGAGAATAGACCCACTGCCCCCCCCCCCCTCCCCCCTCAGTAAGCATGTCATAACAGACGACTAACTGGGAGTTTGCTGAGATCAGATGTCTTGCGCTGAAAGGGATAGCTGTGGCTGTAAACCACAATGTGCAAACCACCATTTTAAAGGAGGATTCAGAAGAAGGGAAAAGGGGGGGGGGGGGGGGGGGGGGGAGAGAAGAAGAAACTGATTACTCTTAATGTGTCAACATCATAGCACACTGGACATACCCATAGATGCACTATCTCCTGCAGCAAATATCTTAATGGGTAGATGCTAATAGTTCCCATAACACACTGATTATACACATGTCATTCTCTTCCTCTCATGCGTCCATCCTTGTCGGATCTACACCTGATTCTTTATTCACACATTCTCACACTCGTTATTACATCTAACCTTGTATCTTATATCAGCATTAGTTCATAACTGGTCTTCAGAATGTCTCCTTTGTCTGATGCAAGAATTCCCATAACTGACGCTTTTGAAGCCAGAAAATTTGCTCTTTTATTTCCTCGCACTCATGCGTATTTAAAAAAAAAATTTAATAAAAGAAAGAAAGAATAGTTTCTAAGATGTTCCTTTGTTTCTACAGGATTTCTCTCCCTGTAGCAAGCGGTACATTTCTGCTGTACTGACAACAAGGTCAGGGTCATGTTTCAAAGGTAAAAGGTTAAAAGCAGATGTTAAATATCAAACTACTTACTTAGTAAAAAAAAAAAAATTCCCTTGCCAAAGCACTGCCACCCTAGTACCTCTTCAGTGTCTGAAGCTTTAAATGGTGTAAAATGTGGCCGTCGTTTAAAAACCTTATTTTGAAGCTTTTACACCTTGGCTAACAGAAAGAGCATGGGTAATTATTGTGTTTAGTCTGTGTTGTTTTTGAACTGAAATTCTTCAATATTGATAGATATATTAGTTATTAAGTTGTAGTAGAGATCTTGATTGTTGTTGATAACATTTCATTATGATTTCTTTTGTTGTTGTTGTCATTTAAATTATTTGATTTAACAATACTAGATTGATTTGTTTGTAGAAGAGATGTGTTGATTCTCTTTGAGCTTCCAGTACTAAAATGAAAAAACCATGTTTTTATCGGCTGTCTGTTAAAACAAACGGTTTATCTATAATCTGGTATGAACAAAAAATTTTGAAGTTTATATTTACCATAACTATAAATTTTCAGTAAAGATTTTTTTTTTTTTCAATACCACTTTACCTGTATCTCCCTGCACACTATCTCTCCTTTTCTCTCTGTATCCCTCTCTTTCTGGGTATTTTCTCTCTCCACTCTCAAACATTTTGAAGCTGACAGTTAACATAACTATAAAGTTTCAGAAGACATATTGTTTGTTTTTAAATACCACTTTCTCCCTCCACACTCTTCTGTTCTATCTGCTATCCATCCATCTCTCTATGCATTTTCTCCCTCCACACTCTCAAACATTTTGAACTTGACAGTTATCAGAACTATAAAGTTTCAGAAGACGTTTTTTTTATAAAATTTTTTCTCCCTCCAAACACTCTCCCTTTTTCTCTGCCATCACTCACCCTATTTATTTTCTCCCTCCATACTATCTTTCCCTTTTCTCTCTGTCTTCCTCCTCCTCCCTCCTGTTTTTATGTGTATGCTTATGAATACATGCATATTGAACTATAGGATTATAGTCATACAGCCAAGCTGCACTGACAAAGTGGTAATCTATTTACCTGCTGATGCTGGTCATCTGGCTTCAGGCTCCAGAAGTGGCAGGGTGTTACCGTCAGGTCACCCCAGTCCCAGAAATGGGCACCAGATCTTCTTCTTAGCGTTCACCAGCTGTAAACTCTGTCAGAAAGTTTTGGCTGTTCATCTACTTCTGGACTTTGGTGTTGTTCCAGAACTTGAGTTTTGCCTGCACGTCCATTTGACAGATCTGGCTTATTTATATGCAGACTGTTGGTTCCGTGCCTCTCAGACAGATGTACTCTGAGTTTGAAGTAATTTCCCCTAATTAGTAGCCTTGTATGACATGCTTGTTAGAGGGCAGTGGGTCTTGCCCCCAATATGGGGTCCTGAAACCCACATGGGGAGGCCACCAGCTAAGTTACAGTATTTTCTGACATATGTCTGAGAAGGAGAGGTGGCAAGAAAGGGAACTGCCATCCTGTGTCATATTTCATAGCCAAGAATGTTTGAAGGTCTAATACATTACACTCCAAGGACATTGTCTGCTGTTGATTCTGAGTGGATTCTGGGACCTGTTTATAGTAATAATTTTAGTTTAGGTTGACCTGGGAGATAAGTTCAAATAAAAAAAAAAAAAATTAAATCCTCCGTAGTGTGGAAGCAAACTCAGTCCTTCAGGCTAGTTGGCAAGCATTTAATCATTGTGCTACGGCTCATATTCTCAAATAATCCCATTAGAATTTATTACTTTCAGTAATAACTGCTTATAATATAATCAGTTTAAGTAATACCTGTTGACATTTAAAGAGATTGGGAATGACAGTTAAGTAAAGTGGATAAGAGTTGAATGTGAGAATTATAGTACAGAGGCCAGATTGAGTTGGCTGTGCTTTAGTTGTGTTGAGCTTGCCAGATTTTCTCATGATGGTCAAGTGAATAGAATGTCAGATTAGAAAAGTTATAAAGACTGAAAAAAAAATTTGTGACAACAGAGATGAAATGCCTTAAAAGAGCTGCAGGAGTTTAAAGGAAAGACAGAATACGAAATCATGAAATCAGACGAATGCTAGGAATAAAGCCAGTCTTACAGGTCATCAAAGAACAACAAATAAAGTGGTTTGGACACCTAACAAGAATGCCCTGGTACTATCTGCCACAGCGAGCCACACTAAAACGTTACAGCGGGTATAGAGCAAGTGGAAGATCTCGGAAAAGATGAGTGATGGCATTAAGAACAGCCTTACAGAAATGAACATCAGTCTTAATAGTGCTCTTGACAGAGCTCATCATCGTAAATTACATCTCCCCTCCCCCGACACTTCAATGAGGTACAAGGTGGAAGAAGAGGAAGCAGAAAAAGAAGGAAGACTGAATTAGTGTTAATTTAAAGATTAAACTGAAGTTTGTAAATTGTCTTTGTGCCTTTTGTTACACAGCTGAAATTTGCCTGATGAAGGACATTCAGTCGGTATTGTAAAATATGTATTCCAGTTCAGAAAGTGGTTTCTGTATTTTTATTGCTCTTACAGTTGCTTGTATCCAATCATAGCAAATAAGTATTTGAATAATAAGTAAAAGTCACATTGTGAGATATTTGGTTGCTTGGTGATAGCTCTAAAAAAAATAAAAATAAATGACAACAAATATTGAAAATGTCAGGAACTTTGAAAATCTGGGCTCCATAATAAACAGCGCGGGAGACTGTTAAGCAGAAGTCAAAAGAAGGATGGTCATAACAGTGCACAGATTAAACAACTTTAAAAGTCTGCGGTTGAGCACCACCAAGGAACTCAAAGTCTAAATTTTGAGAGCATTTGTCTTTCCTGTAGCAGCATACAGATCTGTGTCATGGACTACATCACAGTCCTTAGGGAAGAAAATAGGGCTTCTGAGCTGTAATGCTATAGAAAGATCCTCAGAATACCATGGACAAAGAATACAAGAAATACTGGCATCCTAACAGATCTGAGCATTAAGGAAGATTGGCTAGTAAACAGCATCTTGTCTCGGAAACTAAAATGTTTGGCCATATCAGACACCACAACAGATTGGGGGAGAAACTGCAGTAGGCATGGTGTCAGGAAAGAGGTGCAGGGACATGAAGACCAGCATGAAGATAGGCACAGGATATAAATGACACCTTGGACAGGAAAAGGCGGAAGGTGGATGGGAGAGCTAGTGAGAAATTAAGTTTCTTTCATTCAGACTGTGATGAGAACGATGTTTTGCAAAGGACCTGCTGCATGTTGATGGGAACTTTTTTGAAAGTATTTCATGCTGAGATGTTGGATAGTTTTTCCAATGCTCAGTCTTCCAAGGGTCAGATGGCTAGCACACACTTGGAGGATGTAGGATTATAGAGTACCAGTTGACATCCTTTGGGGGGAATTACTGATGGATAGAAGATATTGAGGTCGGCCTCTACTCTGACATTAATAATGTGTGTGAGCAAAACATGAAAGATACAGATATTGAGGCGGATTCCTGAGAATGGATGTCATGGACTATTTTGCGTGGTTGGAGAAAATCAGGAAAGGAACAGAAATAAAGGATAAAATGGTTGCAGATTGGTTAAAAGCTGAACATCTGAGAAGAAGCACGTTGAATACATGCTATGACATCACAGGTCCTGCATTCTCATGCTGTAATTGTGGAAGACTTTTTAACAAGAGTTGGTCTTGCTGATCTCACTCGCCCTTGCTGCAGCAGCCATGCACTCAGAATGGATAAGACCAGATTCCCCCATCAAACCCTCAAATGTAAACCTGCAGTGAAAAGAAAACAAGGTAAGCCCAGACCTGCCTAGAACCGTCTTCAAGGAAGGCTCAACCATGGGCCCAGATTTTTTTCTACCTTAAAAAAAAGTCTTGAGGCAGGGCATCTGCCTCGAGTGCTGGAGGTCCCGGGTTCAAGCCCCTGTGAAGGCTGGGATTTTTTTCACGTGGACTTCTAGTAATTTCCCCTGGTCTCTGCGCAGTAAGATCAGATTAGATGCCCGTATGTATTGTTGTGCAGATAAAAAAAATCCTTTGGCAGTTGGAAATTTAAAAAAAAGAGTAGCCTAACAGCGCTGCCTGGGCAAAATTTGGAGTTAGAAATCTACCCAAAGTATTTCAGGATCCTCGCTGGTGCCAAGGAGTTCGTGCACTGCGCTGACATTTTTTGGACTCGGGCTAGAGTCAGAAGTAGAATGGAGCACTAATGGGTTACTACCCTTGTGCCATGATATTGATCCCTTATTTAAACGAAACCAACCATGGGCCTAATGAACATGCAGGCCCTAAAACAGGTGGCTGCAAACCACCAGACGTGGAGAGCTATGACTCTGCCCTATGCGCCGCGCTGGGCTCAAGAGGAAAGACTAACTAACTTAATTGCTGTGGGCTATGATTCCAATAGCACAGCTATTGTCTGGAAAGACAGAAAGGTGCAGACAACAGGGGTAACAGTGTAAGACAACAAATTTTACTCTTGCAATTGCTTGCATTGAATCATATATTAATCTAGGGTTTCATTGTCTTCTTCTTCTTCTTCTTCTCTTCCACCTTGTACCTCATCGAAGTGTCGGGGGGAGATGTAATGTTCGTTGATGAGCTCTTTCAAGAGCACTATTAAGACTGATGTTCATTTCTGTAAGGCTGTTCTTAATGCCATCACTCCATCTTTTCCGAGGTCTTCCACTCGCTTTATACCCGTTGTATCGTTTTAGTGTGGCTCGCTGTGGCAGATAGTACCAGGGCATTCTTGTTAGGTGTCCAAACCATTTCATTTGTTGTTCCTTGATGACCTGTAAGACTGGCTTTATTCCTAGCATTCGTCTGATTTCATGATTTTGTATTCTGTCTTTCCTTGAAACTCCTGCAGCTCTTCTAAGGCATTTCATCTCTGTTGTCACAATTTTACGTTCATTGGAGGATGTAAGTGTCCACGTTTGGCACTGATAGCATAGTATTGGCCAAAAAATAGTTCTGATAAGATTCACTTTAGTACTCTGAG